AAATGTAGCATTGTTCCTGTATGCACAAATAAAAAAGATTTGGTTTAGAATTGTCAGAAATGCATTTCAGTAGAAACTAGAAGTAGTTGCTTGCTTCTTTGCTTAAAAGAAAGAGACAGACTTTTATATATATCTTCCTTACTGATCAACAGTTACATCTATTCTTAGTTTTTTTTTTTTTTTTTTTCCATTTCCCTTTGAGACAGGATTTTTCCCAGGCTGGTCTCAAACTCATAGGCCCAAAGTATCTGCCTACTTCAACCCCTCAGTAGCTGGGACTACAGGTGTGTACCATCGTCTCAGTTCTTAATTCTTTTTTGTTGTTGTTGTTGTTTTGTTTTTAGGTTAGTGTTGTCTTACTTAATCTTTAAGGCTGTTCTGTCCAAATCTCCATTGCCTTTGATCTTTAGCAATTTTCCCTTGATTTTTGTATTTGGTCCCTCTCTCTCCTTAAATCTTAAAAAAGTTTGGTTTGATTTGGTTTAATTTGTGCTGGGCTTGAATCCGGGGCTGGTTTGCTGAACATACTGCTCTACTTCTAATGTACATTTCCAGCCCACAATAAAGTTTTTTTTTAAAGGCAAATCTTATTTTGCCATTCTTTTTTCTTTTTTTTAGTACTGGGGTTTAAACTCAAGGCCTATACCTTGAGTTACTCCACGAGCCTTTTTTTTTGTAATCCCCCACCCCACCATAGGGTCTCACAAGCTATTTGCCCCAGCTGGCTTCAAGCAACGTTCCTCCCTATCTCTGCCTCTGGAGTAGTAGGATTATAGGCGCCCAGCTACATTCCTTTTTCTTCCTCATTCTCTCCCTCTTTCCCTCTCCTTGCTCTCCTCTGTCTCTCTGCCTTTTTCCTTTCTTCTCTCTCTCTCTTTCTGTCCCCTTCCTTTTTCCCCTTCCTTCCTTGTTTCTTTTTTTTTTTTGTACTGTTGCAAATAATTGCAAAGTTATGAAGACCTCAGCTAGCTGCACATAGAATAAATACAGATCAGAGAATAAATCCTGTGTCCTACAAAGGCAGCCTTGTACCCTACCATTCCATCTATGGGAGAGTCCACATTCCTTCCCTGCCTCCAGCTCCCAGCCTGGCTAAGATACAGCTTATCTTCACTTTTCAGTCTTGCTTGACACTCCTAATTTGTTATGGCACTTATATTGTAATTTTGTTTACCTGCCTTCCCCAGTCTCAGCCATGTTTCTTAAGTCCAGGTCCTTTTTCTTCATCTTTGCCTATGTCCTATATCAGGACAATTCCCAGTAGATGGCAGAAAATTAGTGCACCTTATGGCTGGTTTTTGCAAGGCAATTTTTTTTTTTTTTGCACTATTTTTTTATTTTGTGAGCTCAGAGCTTCATGCTCACAAAGCAGGCGCTATACTGCTTGAGCCACATCTCCAGTTCAGTTTGCTCTGGTTATTTTGGAAATGGGGTCACTTGAGCTGTTTGCCTGGGCTGGCTTCGAACCACAGTCCTGATCTTGGACTCCTAAGTAGCTAGGATTACAGGTATGCGCCATCTGCTCCCCTCCGTTACTGGGGTTTGAACTCAAGACCTTCCACTTGCTAGGCAGGTGCTCTACCACCTGAGCCATGACTCCATCCCTTTTTGGTTTAGGTATTTTTTGAACACGGTCTCCAGTTTATGCTTGGGCTGGCCTCCAACTGAAATTTACTTATCTCTGCTTCTTGAGTAGTTAGGTTTACTGGTCTGGCAAGGCAGTTGTCTCCACCTCCCAAGTAGCTAGGATTACAGGTGTGAGCCAGTAGTGCCCATCTAAGGGTGTTTTTTATAAAATTCTTTTCTTTGGCTGGTAAAGTGGCCCAAATGGTAGAGCACTTGCCTAGCAAGCATGAGCCCCGAGTTCAAATACCAGTACCACATCCCCCAAAAAAGAAATAAATAAAAATTATTTTCTCCAAACATTTTATTAGACTGAACTTGTAGGGAACATTTTAATCTTATATCTGGATATGTTACCATATGATGCTAGTCTCTTGTTACAGGTGAGAAAACTTTGAGGTATTTGTATACCTTTTAGAACATTGTGCCCCCCCTTATAAAAATATATTAAAAACAATACAAATGTAAAAGTAGCTAGGATTATAGGCTTGAGCCACCTGCATCTGGCTTCATTTCATTTTAAAAATTTTTCTCCATTTCATTTCTTAAAGTTAACTACTCAGAGTTTGTTACCTTGCAGTTTTATAGTGAAGTTTTAAAATTCACCTGCTGTTTGGAAGGAATGCTTTAGAAGTTTATACTATAATTTACTCTAATTATTAACTCGTGTTGTTTATATTTTTCTAGACATACAGACTTTATTTTTTTCAAGCAGCTTTAGGTTTTAAGTTCACAGCAAAGTTGAGGGTGAAGTACAGAGTTCCCATACATATGTTCTTCCCTTCATAGTCCTAGCCTCCCCCAGCAGCATCCTGCACATTTGTTACATTCGTACATTTGTTACTGTAGATGAACCAATATTGACATTTCATTATCAACCAAAGTGCATGGTTTACATTAGGTAGGGTTCACTGTTGTGTTTGGTCCATGGGTTTGTGATTAATGACATGCATCCTCCAGTATGAGTATGTAGTTAACACTGCTCTGGAAATCCCTTGTGCTTCATCCCTTCTTCCACCACTGAGCTTTTTTGCTGCTGGGGATTAAAGCATGTGCTATACTCCCAGTCCTTAATTTTTTTTTCTCTCTCTTTTTTTGTTAATATGTATATTTAAAATTTTCTGTTGTACCTTAAATCTTTGGTCACAAAAGTATTCACACACATATGTATATGTATATATATTATAGAATCCTTATCATCTGCAGTGCGTTGTTTATTTTTTATTTTCTTGTGGTATTGGGGATTGATACTTGCTTCATACTTGCTGCTTGAGCTACTCCTCCAGCTTGCAGTGTGTTTTGAATTAATTTTAAATACAGTTCAAAGTATGGTTTAAAGCTTTTTTTTTCTTTCATATAGATACCTAGTGTTAGCACCATTTATTTATTTATTTTCATTTATTTATATGTGCATGCGATGTTTGGGTCATTTCTCCCACCTTCCCCCTGCCCCCTCCCTTACCTCCCTGCCCCCTCCCTTACGTCCCTGCCCCCTCTCTCTTCCCTTCTACCCCCTCGCTACCGGCAGAAACTATTTTACCCTTATCTCTAATTTTGTTGAAGAGAGAGTATAAGCAGTAATAGGAAGGACCAAGGGTTTTTGCTAGTTGAGATAAGGATAGCTATACAGGGAGTTGACTCGCACTGATTTCCTGTACATGTGTGTTACCTTCTAAATTAATTCTTCTCGAACTAACCTTTTCTCTAGTTCCTGGTCCCCTTCTCCTATTGGCCTCAGTTGTTTTAAAGTATCTGCATTAATTTCTCAACATTGAGGGCAACAAATGCTATCTAGTTTTTTGAGTGTCTTACCTATCCTCATACCTCCTAAGTGTGCTCTCCCTTTATCATGTGCTCAAAGTCCAATCCCCTTGTTGTGTTTGTCCTTGATCTAATGTCCGCATATGAGGGAGAACATACGATTTTTGGTCTTTTGGGCCAGGCTAACCTCACTCAGAATGATGTTCTCCAATTCCATCCATTTCCCATCGAATGATAACATTTCATTCTTCTTCATGGCTGCATAAAATTCCATTGTGTATAGATACCACATTTTCTTGATCCATTCGTCAGTAGTGGGGCATCTTGGCTGTTTCCATAACTTGGCTATTGTGAATAGTGCTGCAATAAACATGGGTGTGTAAGTGCCTCTGAAGTAACCTATGTCACATTCTTTTGGGTATATCCCCAAGAGTGGTATTGCTGGATCATATGGTAGATCTATGTTTAGATTTTTAGGAAGCCTCCAAATTTTTTTTCCAGAGTGGTTGTACTACTTTACATTCCCACCAGCAGTGTAAAAGGGTTCCTTTCCCCGAATCCTCACCAACACCTGTTGGTGGTGTTGTTGCTAATGATGGCTATTCTAACGGGTGAGGTGGAATCTTAGTGTGGTTTTAATTTGCATTTCCTTTATTGCTAGAGATGGTGAGCATTTTTCATGTGTTTTTTGGCCATTTGAATTTCTTCTTTTGAGAAAGTTCTGTTTAGTTCACTTGCCCATTTCTTTATTGGCTCATTAATTTTGGGAGAGTTTAGTTTTTTGAGTTCCCTATATATTCTGGTTATCAGTCCTTTGATGTGTAGCTGGCAAATATTTAGCACCATTTATTAAAAATGCTATTATTTCTATATTAACTTGTCTTTGTACTTTGTTGAAGATGGGTTAATCATAAATGGGAGTCTTTTTCTGGACTTACTGTAGTATTAATACTGATTGGTATTGTAGCTGATTGATCTAGAATGGTTTGGAAACATAGCTGTGTTTAGAAAATTGTTAAACTTTCATTGGAACCTGGTGTGCTGAACAAGCAGTTTGTAAATCTACAGAAAGATTTTCTAAAGCAACTTTAAGCCTAAAGTTAAAAGATACCAATAATGATTCATTATCTATTTGGGGAAGCAAGCTGTTTTTTATTTTTCATGCAGCAAGAATGATATATGGTTTTTCCTAGAAGATGCCCATTTTCTTTTTCTTTTATTTTTTCATTTCTTTTTTGTTTTTCTATGTGTTTTTTTTTTTTTTTTCGAGATAGGGTCTCCCATACATGTATCCCAGGCTGGCCCTGAGGTAGTGATCCTTTTCCCTCAGCTGCCCCCCTTCTCAGTGTTGGGATAATGGGTGTGCACCACCATGCCTTAAAAGTTTTTTTTCTCGTCACTACCAAAACTTTTTTCAGTAGTGGTGGGGATTGAATTTAGGGCCTTATGCATACTAAGCATACACTCTACCACTGAGATAAGCTCCCATCCCCTAACAGTTCATTTTTTTTCTTTTGGTGGGACTGGGACTTGAACTCAGAGCCTCATGCTTGCTAAGCATCCACTCTATCACTTGAGCCACTCCTCCAGTCTTTGTTTTGTGATGGTTTTTTTTTTTCCAGATAGAGTCACATGGAAGTGTTTTCTGGATTCGAACCATGATCCTCCTGATCTCTGCCTCCCGAGTAGCTTGGATACATGCATGAGTCACTCGTTCCTGGTGAATAGTTCGTTTAAGTGTACAGTTGAGGTTAAAATGCTAAGAAGCAGATTTTATTTTAAAAAGATCATTGAACAAAATAATTGGAGTGTAATTTAAGACATCTTTCAAAATGGAACGTTTTCATTTGTTGATGCGTTTTCCTCATTCCTAGAATACCTGTTCTTAAGTGTTGTGTGTGTGTGTGTGTGTGTGTGCGCGCGTGCGTGTGTGTGTGTGTGTGTGTGTGTGTGTGTGTGTGTTGCTGGGGATCAAACCCAGGGCCTTGCACAGACTAGGCAAGTGCTGTACCACTGAGCTACTTCCCAGCCCTTCTGTTAAATTTGTTTTTTTGTGTTTGGAAAACCTCATGCCCCATGGTTCCTTTCTTTTATTGCGGTAAGATCCACATGCAATTTTACATTTTAATGCGTATACATAGTTTGGTGGCATGAAACAATAATGTTCAACTGTCATCACCACCACTGTCTAGTTCTGGAACTTTTTTTTTAAATCACTGCCCCACAATTTTAGCACCTAATTATTCTTTAGTGTTTACCTACCCTAGTAAATGTTGGGGCCGTAAAAGAAAAACAAAACTCAGTTCTTATCTCTAAAGACCCCATAATTTAGCAAGGAAAATTCTAATACTAGGTCAAATGTTAAAGCTCTCCATCATTCAGTTTTATTTACTTAACTAGAATTTTTACCTTGCAAAAGAAAAATAATTTGTTAGGTTAACATTTAAGTTGTCATATCATTCCGAAACACAGCAAATTAATTTAGGCTAGCCAGAAGTCGTCTTTAGTCTTTTGACTTAGGTCAACTGAGAACTCACAAGTCTTCATGTCCTGTCCTTCGTAACAAGAAGGGAATCAGAAAATTATTGATTCAGTGTCATATTAAGAGCTACTCTTTTCTAATGGAGCAGGGAGATCTGAGAAAACTGTGATTAGTTATAACTTCCTAGTTGTCTGCACCTATCTTTAGTTGAACTGTTTTACCTTACTCTAGTTGCAATGACAGCTTGCTTGATTATAATTAGCCATGGCATTGTACAGGCATGTTTTTTCCTTGGCAGGTCAGATCATCTTTTTTTTTTTTTTTTTTTTTCCGGTGCTGGGGACCAAACTCAGGGCCTTGCACTTGCCAGGCAGGCGCTCTTCCACTGAGCTAAATCCCCAACCCTGCTCAGATCATCTTGAGGAATAGTTGTACTTGGATATTGTGTCAAGAAATTGTGCTTTCCAATATCTTGAGAATATGTTAGGTAGCAATTGTGTCTTAGTAGTTTTAGTTAAAAGTAATGTTGACTTGGGGAATAGCGCAATGGTAGAGTGCTTGCCTAGCATGCACAAGGCCCTGGGTTTGCTCTCTACCTCTGCCAAAAAAAAAAAAAAATTGTGTTGTCAACATTGAGCAGTATTATAATTATTGTTTTTTATTTACATTTTTATATTATGACTTCTTTTCTTTTTCTTTCTCTCTTGCTCTTTCATTCTTCTTCTCTCTCAGTCTGTCTTTTTTTCCCTTTTGAGATAAGAGTATTGCTCTGTAGCTCAGGCTGACCTGCCTCTTCCTCCCAAGTGCTGGGCGTATAGGCATGAACCATCACACCTGACTGTAATCTATTTTCTTTAGTATGAAAGTAAGACAGTATGGCCCTTTCTTGTTGTTTTTGTTTTATGAAGAGAAAAGTATATACATTTTATTTAATACTTTTACATGCGTACAGGAGTTTTTTTTTGCAGTGGATACTTTTTGTTTTTAATTTTATTTTTACATTTACTTAACATGTGTACACATTATTTGGGCCACTCCCCCCCTTTTTTTTTTCCTAATACAGTCAGTCTAAAGAGTTAATGTTAGCTATTGGAGTGGCTCATAGTAGAGTACGTGCCTCCCAAGTGTAAGGCCCTGAGTTCAAACCAGTACTACCAAAAAAGAAAAAGAGTTGATGTCCAAATGATTGTTTAATGTTGTTAACAATTTTAGCACTTGTCAGAGGAAGAAGAGTTCAGGTTTTTAGGCTTAAACTCTTTTTGTATGTGTGTGTGTTGTTCTGGGGTTTGAATTTAGGGCTCTGTGTTTGCTAGGCTGGTGCTCTATGACTTGAGCCTTACCTCCAGCCCTAGGCTGAAACTCCTTTTTTTTTTTTTTTTTTTTTTTTTTTTTGTAATACTGGGGCTTGAACTCAGGGCCTTCATTTTGAGTCACTCAACCAGCCCTATTTTTGTGAAGGATTTTTTTGAGATAGGGTCTCATGAACTATTTGACTGGGCTGGCTTTGTTTTTTGTTTTTTTTTTTTCATTTTTCTTTTATTATTCATATGTGCATACAAGGCTTGGTTCATTTGTCCCCCCTGCCCCCACCCCCTAACTGGGCTGGCTTTGAACCACTATCCTCCTGTTCTCTGCCCCCTGAGTAGACAGGATTGCAGGCATGAGCCACCGGCACCCAGCTAGATTTTTTTTTTTTTTAGTATAAATTTGTGGTGCAGTTTTCTTAGGATGTTAATCATTTTGATATTTATTATTTTTTAAAAATAACTATAATCTTCTTTTTCCAGGGTAATCACTTTGATCAGTATGAAGAAGGACATTTGGAAATTGAACAAGCTTCTCTTGACAAGCCTATAGAATCGGTAAGATGACCAGTGTTTTATTTTGGGTCTTAGCCAGTCAGTTAGGTAGTTGCTCGTGTGGCACTTGATGTGAATGAAGTTAAGTTTTATTAACGACTGCTAGTAGTTTAGAGCGATTTTCTTGCATGCTCTACAGAAATCAAATAGAGTTTTGTATGTAATTTTATATTTAATATATTGGGAAATCAGTCTAAAGCTAGAGAAAAAAAATTACAATTTTGATTGAAAAAAATGTCATTTTGACCCATGCTGATATTTTAATAAAGATAGCAAGTTAAAGTTTAGTGTTTTTGTAAATTAAATAAAGGAGTAAAATGTATTTTGATCCTTTAATACTTTTCCTGGGCAACATAAACATGTATGAAATGGCCCATTAGAAACAGTTAAGAAATAATCAATTTTATTTCCCAGACTCTTGTGAAATGTTGTAAACTTGGTCTCCTGTAGTTTAAGAAGTGTTTAATTTATGGGTTAGGGATGTAGCTCAGTGGTAGAGTGCTTGCCAAGGTCCTGGGTTTGATCCCCAGCGCCACAAAACAAAGCAAAAAGAAATGTCTGTTTTTTTTTTTTTTCCCTTCAAAAGTCGATTATTTCTATCCTTTCTCACTGCTTAGTTTGGGACATTAATGATGCCAAATGGTAGAACAAAGAGATTTATTTTCCATCTCTTAATTAAGAAACAAAAATCATCTTAATTTTTAAACACTTTATTTTGAAAACCCATTATTTTAAATAACACAGTCTGTCGTTAAAATGTCTAAGCTTGTCATTATTGTCAGCATTTAATATTTGTGCTTAAGTGTACATATTTAATAAGGGTTTCATTGAGGCATTGAAAAACGTACATGGGGGAAAAAAGTCAAAGAGGGGACCTTAATCTTTATAGCAGTAAGCCCTCCCTCCCTTTAAAAAACATCAATTGCTTTTCCCTCTGGGAGATAACAAGGCAATTTAGAGAGCACAGATACTTTAGCTTTTATTTTCAAAACTGTGACATAGTAAAGGATCAACATATATTTGTGTTCCTAATTAGGTTGGTGTTGTGTGTTTGTGTGTGTGTTTAGATGTTTACAGAAATTTACACAACTTGGGGTGTTCGACATTTTTCTTCCACAGCAGTTGGCCCATATTAGCTAAGCAGCCATGATCTGGTTTGTATTGCACGGTCTGCCTTTTTTTTTAATTTCTTCTCAAGGGTTTCTTTCTCCCCCACCTCCCTTTCTTACTTCTGTCCTTCTGGTCCAGTGAACACTGCATATAGTACTTTCTGTCTTAATGTGCTGGCATGTTGCTAGACTTAGGCATGGCAGTAATTGATGACGCATGTGATAATGCTGCAGAGGGAGAATTCATATCTGATATGGTGCTGAAAGTCCAGTCTAGTGTTTTGACATAAGAATGAAATGCCAGTCCCACATTACTAAGTTAAAATTCACTGAAATTTGTGCCTTGTTCTGTATCATTTTGGGGATTATTACCAGGCAGAATTTCATACTGAAATCCATAGGCAAATCAGTATCTTGTACTTAAAATAATTTAATTTTTCTGTTTTAATTTGACTAGGTTTCTTTGGGTGAAAGTTTAAGAATAAACCATCAGCAGCAGGTCCCCAGTGCCATATTTTATAAGGTGCATGACTTGTTAATATTCCTGTAGAAGTTATAATTCTGTTGAATACTCTTGACTTGCCAGTAACAGGAAATTTAATTAGCCTGAATTTGCAGTCTACTATTCATTATTGTTAATTTAACAGACTTTTTTTTTTAAAGCACTAAATGATATTTAACATTTCTGAAGCCTTCTTTTAGGGCCACATTGTTTAAGAGTTTTTTAAAATTCATTCCTGTGGCCTGCTAATTTACCCCATTGTCCACAGGTTCTAGCATGTGTCGTTGGAAGAGTACTATGAGAAGACAGTCTGATTGAATAATCATTGTCGAGTAATCTCAATGAGTAGGAGAATTTACATGTGCCTTATTTACTAAGTTATGTTATCTTTTCCATTTAAAATAGCCAGTAGTATAGTACTGACTAGATATTTAACTTTTTTATAATGTATACCCAGAGATGTATATTATATTAATAAATATATATATATATATACTACTATTGAAAATTTACTTCTGAAGCGCATATGCATTATTTGTCATATGGTAGCTTACGTAGTAGTAATAGCAGGAGCTTTATAACCTACAATGTGTTAAATAGAAGTGGGACTCAAAAGATAAAGAGGGTTCTTATTTCTGCTACCTAATCATTTGGGAATAAAACTTAAAGTTTGAAAAGAAATACCTACATGATTGGCATCAAGGTGGTGTTCCCTCTTCTCCCAAAGAAAAAAGTCCCCTATCATCTAAGGAATGTCCACCAAGTAATAAGCATATACCAAGTTATATGGCTGGCTGGCTGTATTGAGCTGTTTTGTTCTTAAGGGGTGTGTTGCTTCTAACACACAGAGAGAGTCTCTGCTGAATTAAAATCTTTCTCTGCAGCAATATCTATTGAGAGGTGCTGACTGTTTTGCTACAGCATGCAACTCAAAAGTGGCTGGAAATAAGCAGCTTTGGGAGTCTACAGATCATTGCAGGAGCTAAAGGTCTAGTCATTATTTTTTTAAACAAAGGTAATCTGCAGCAGCTGATAACCATGGAAGTCTCTGCACAGGTTTGTGCCAAGAATATGCCTGTGTGAAGGGTTATTGTGAGTATAGGTTTAAGGTCTTCCTGTTTTGTAATAGGGTAAATTTAATGCAAACCAGCAAGATGAGAAATGAGATTCAAAGATACAATAATGCATTATACTTTACCGAACTTCTGAAATCTAGATTTGTTAGTGAGATGATACAGGTATTTTAATTTCAATAGGCAAATGTTGAAAACAGTCAAAATCCTGCATTTGTAAAGTATTTAATAATACTTACTATGAAATTTCACTTCCTTTTCTTTATTTCAACCAACCAAATATCCTTCAATGAAATTTCTGATCAGAACTAAAACTTTCTAGGAAAATTATGAAGGAATTGCTAGATAAATTGATTATTTGAATTAAAATGAAAATGTACAGTATTAACATTTTATTTTTCTTGAACTTGAATTTTTAAAGTCATAGTTGGGCTGTTGGGATGGCTCAAGTGGTAGAGTGCCTGCCTAGTAAGTGCAAGGCTGTGAGTTCAAACCCCAGTACCATCAAAAAAAAAAAAAAAAGTTGTTGTTTTATGAGATTTTAAAGTCCCAGCCATTATAACTATGACTTTCATATACTTAGAGTATTTGGAAAACAAAACTATGTAAAGATATAGCCCAATGTGGGATTCCATCATAGTTACCAGAATTGGTTGGTGTGATTTAGGATATGTAATCCTTTATGACTTCTGTCATAGCTTAAAAATGAGAAGTCAGGTGGGAGTATGATGTTCACTTATACGAAAAGCAAAATGCCTGCATCATAGACTTAAAATATGCTCTCATGTTGCATCTGGAAGTGCAACTACCCATCAGCCATTAGTTGGTCTTTGCTTTACCTGACTGATTAAAATCCTGCCTTAATCATTGTCAGTTTGATTTAGTAGGTTTTTCAAAATTAGTGTAAGTTTTCAAACTCTAGTTGCTGATGTCTAGTTTGCTTATGTAGGGATTTAGAAGTATATGCATAATTGGATTTTTGTCATGTTGCATATCTGTTTAGATCTGTGGACTCCACTAGTTCCAAACTGTAACTATATAAAGACTGATGATTTGACATTTAGCAGTGACCTTATGTGAACTGCACAATAAATAATGTGCTTCTTGGAGCTGAATGGTGTAGCATTACTATATGGCTTTTCTCTCTAGTCTTCATTGTGTCATCTGTAGTGAGCTATAGATTTCTTTTTTTTTGTTTTGGAAACTTTTACAACTTGTTTGCATGGGTTCACCTGGTAGCATTTGGTTCTTGCTTATAGAGTCTTTAATACACAATCAGCAAAGCTTACAATCCACTCAAGAGACTTATTATTTTTGTCACTGTTGAAAATGGACTAAATTGTATAAATTGGATGTGGCTGTCAATTTTTAATTTAAAAAGGTTGATATTTTTTCAGTATGTTGGCAATTGTGTACAATACACATTTCTTGATTTCAAAGATTTTCCCATTTAAAAATTTTGTCTCTCACATAATAGAGAAGAGCAAAGGTTGGAAATACAACATCTTTAATTATACATTTAAGTTTAGAGATAGGAAAAAAAAAGGTCAATAGGAGTAATTGGTTAAAAAAAAAACTTTTGTATTTTCCTTTTTTAACCACAAGTAGGAGAGCTTCATTTTCAAACAAGGAACGTGCCACACAGCCACCATTTTGAAACTCAAGCACAGAGTCTTAACATATGGGGTGGTTTGTTGGAACCCTGTGAATGATGTAGAAAACCATTTTTCTTGTGTGTGTGTTACTCCCCCTTGGGCAAAATTCATTTGCTTTACTCTATAGTTTAAATTTAGATTTTCTTTGCAATTCTTACATATATGTTTAAATTATAAACAACCTACCACAATCACACACTGTGTTAATTGTAAGCTAGAACTGTTTAAAGAGAAAAAAAAGTTATTTACTTTTGGTTTTATGAGAGTATAATTCAAAACCTCTGTTTGTTTATTTATTGGGACTAGAGTTTGAACTCAGAGCTTTGTGCTTGCAAAACAGTTGCTCTACCACTTGAGCCACACCTCCTGTCCATTTTGCTCTGGTTATTTTGGAGATAGGGTCTCACCAACTATTAACTCCGTGCGCGTGCCCCCCCCCCCATGCTGGCCTTGAAGCATAATCCTCCTAATCTCAGCCTCCCAAGTACCTAGGATCATAGGTGTGATCCATAGGTACCCGGCTTATATATTTTATTTTAAAATCCAAAAACTGCAAGATTTTTAGTAACTATTAAAGTAACTGAAATAGTAAGTAATTACTGTTTTATTTTTTACAATTCTAATAGTTATGATTTTAGAAGTATATTCTAGTGCTCATTGCCCCTGTTCTGTTTAGATTACCTGTTGGAGCTGTAGTAACTTGTGCCAGTTTAAGCTTTGATCTTTTCAAGAGGTAGCCAAGTCTGCTTCATTCCACTGTGTTTAAGGTATTGGTATGTTTTCCTTGTATTACTCATCATCCTTAGCCCATTGAGTTTTGATGAGTGTCTATAAAAACCTTTTTTTCTTTTTTTTGGTAGGAGGTCATACTGATTACTAGCCCTTTCTGGAGAGCCACAGAGTTGCTTTTTCCTCCAAAAGCAGGTAGTTTGAAATGATAGGAAAGGTCATTTATTTACTTAAGGAGGTTGGTAAAGAGAACAGGTTCTGGGAGATATTTATTGTTTCTGTTGCAGGATTTAAGAGTAGCATCCTTTTTTAATGGAGCACCCAACATTTCACTCACTTTCATACTAGAGAAAGTAGATTTAATTTGTAAGAATAGTAAAAAGTTTTAGGGAAAAGAGCCACTATTTTGTGTATTTTGTCTGAGAAGGTGATGGCCATCCTCTTGAGTGGTTTTGCAAAAGTAGTGCTAATGTGTATAACCTAAATTTTTCTTTTTTCTCCCTCTCCCTTTAACATTTGCTTTTCCTTTCACTGTTGTTAGTCACAACACGCTGCTCTTGAATCTCTCAGCTGGTCTTGACTTGTGAATTTACTTATGCTTTCACTCTTCTTTAATAAATACATTACTTGCAAGCAGTGAATTGAAAACAAGACAAAAAAAGGTTTTGCAAGAAGTAGTGCTAATGTGTATAACCTAAATTTTTCTTTTTTTCTCCTCTCCCTTTAACATTTGCTTTTCCTTTCACTTGTTGTTAGTCAACAACGACCTGCTCTTGAATCTCTCAGCTGGTCTTGACTTGTGAATTTACTTATGCTTTCACTCTTCTTTAATAAATACATTACTTGCAAGCAGTGAATTGAAAACAAGACAAAAAAAAAAAAAACAAACAAAAAAATGACCATTAGTGATCGGACAGTTTCTTACTTTGTGTTACATTTAACTGTTCTTTTGACAGCCCAGTTTTTAAAGCCAGGTTCGTATGGAAATGCTTCACTCCACTTGCAACTGCTTTTGGAAATAGCATACTGC